TCTCATAAACTGTACATTTTTCATTTAATAACTCGTGAATCGAATCGTCAATTTAACTTCGCAAAGCGCCATTTTTGTTATTTGACCAGCGTGTATTTTTTCGTTTCCAGCAGCGGTCTCCTGCTCTTCAAGAACATTTTTTTTTAAAGTTGATTTTGTACATAATCATATCTAAATGTAGGATAAGGAATTTTCGTCACCCTAATATTTCTTTATACTTTTGTTTATATTTTTTAAGATTTTGCAAACACGAAACTACTTTTTAAGTCGCAAGTACAAGGGGTGGTGAACCGTCCCTTTCCTCCCACATTCAGCTGACACGCCGTGATATGACTGGAATACTGTTAAAAGCGGCGTTAAACACAACTCATTCACTCACTCACAATGAACAAGTTTGACAAATTGACAAAAAGATTTATCTCGAATCCACAATATGTAAACAATTTAACGTTGGGTTCTGTATAATGTGTTCAAAATAGTTTATTGAGATGCATGAACACTTTCCACATCGTTCAAGACATATCAAGAGGAGACACAATACAACGAGGGCTGGTTCAAAAGTTCTGAGCCTTACAAACAAAACCAACAACTGTGAAAGTTTTTTTAATTTATTTTTTTAACATAATCTCCCTGCTTTTCGATACACATTTCATATCGAAGTGAAGCTTTTCAATTCCAGTCAGGAAGAAGTTTTCGGAAGCAACCCTGAAAAACCCGTTCACGGCAGCTTTGAGATCATCGATGTCGTCATAGCGCTTTCCACGTAGGTGTTCTTTCAGTTTAGGAAAACGGTGGAAATCACTTGGTGCCAGATCTGGCGAGTATGGGGGGTGAGGAAGTTCTTCAAACCTACATTGTCGCACAGCAGCCTTTGCAAGTCGAGATATGTGAGAAAAGGCATTGTCATGAAGACGTAGAACTCCAGCAGTCACCATTCCCCGGCGCTTTTCTTTGATAGAATCTTTCAGGCGATGAATACGGGTCTTCGGCGTGAACCACAAGGCTACGCCTTTGCCCCAATCCCGGCAGAAAGTTTTACTGTGCGTACATAAATAGAAGCGACAAGACCCCTTTCCATATTCAAAAAAGCAGAGTCGATTGTACGATTCCGACTATATCATGAGAATGTGCGTATAAATAACTAACAAATAGTGATGATACCAGGTGTTCGGGAAAATGTCATCGTATCCTGCCCAACCGGTGGCACTCGTCACAAACACATACAAATGCAGGTCAATTGTTCACCTGAACAAACAAGAAGACCCATTAAGAAGAACTATTGAAACCTACGCCCTTAGAGAGGGAGAAGCGACAACTTCTTGACAATCAGAAACCACTGAAATGCTGTTCCACATCTAGTTGGACTGTGAATTACATAAATGGAAATGATACTTGAGAAAAACTCTAACATACATTAAAACTAAAGACATGTCTCGCTGCGAATAGCTTCACATTTGCTGAAGGGGCGTTACGCAATAGTAGTAATCACTCATTCTCATCGTTCTCTGTAACAATTCGTTTGATGTATATAAGAACACGAAAACCAAAATGCACTCACAATTTAAATCACAACGAAGAAATTTCAAATGAATTCATTTTCAACATTTCAGCCTACATCCGAGGAGATCGGAACCCTAGCACGGGAGAGTGGGCCTACTGGGATGAAGGGACTGCTAGGCCCATGCCGTTCATTGACTGGTCACCAGGTCAGCCAAACGGGGCCGAAAGGGGACAGAACTGCCTGGCTCTGGACAGTACGGGTCAACATGATGCACCCTGCAATACGTTTTACTACTTTTTCTGCGAATATACTATGAAATAGACATATGTACCTATGCAACATGCATATCATAGGCACCATGCACCTTGTAATCATTGGTATTACTTTCTTTGCGGATATTATATGTAATAGGGATATGTGTGTTACTCCGGATTGTTATGGGATGGGTATTCTTCACTAGTTCAAAATAATGGTAACAAAATACATAGGTTTTTACCAGTACTGGTCAACATGATGCACTCTGCAATTATTTTAACAACTTTCTCTGCGAATAACACATGTACTAGACATGTATACATATGTTGTTCCGCTTTAGGATTAGTCTTTTGTAAAATAGTATTGTATTTTCCATGTTCATTTTTTGTGGCAAATATTTTCGACATAAGTGTTGTTACCTTTTGTGCAATGTTTAATGTACTACTAGTTATGAAATGGCCTCAGGTGTGTACCTTACCAGGCCAAATAAAAGACAATTATGTATTTGCTCTAAATGTCCGCCTCGTGTATACCAACATTGAACACCCTATGGACATGACCATTCAGTCATAACCTTTATCGTCCCTTGGGCACGCCAGAAACCTTTAATTATGGGTATGAATGAATCCCCGTTTGCCCCGATTTTGGTTCTAGAATTGCCATACCCGTGCTCGTGGGTTTCACTAAAGTGGTAAACCTGCATCACCTCAGGTCCTTTCCTCCCACATTAAGCTGCAACGCCGTGATATAACTGTGATACTGTTCAAAGCTGCGTGAATCCCGACGCACTCAGTGCATACAATTAGCATCAACTTGTTGGAGAACATCCCAGCTCACTCAATCGTGATTGTTTCTGATATTGCAATATGTCTGAATTAAATACTAAATATTTTTGTTAACTCTGTTCAAACATCGGATAATTAATAATAACTATTTGTCATTGTCTCATGAAATATACATAAATACTGACAAAAAGATAGTTTTGCTTCTTAGTAGATATTTATGTCAACCGCATTTGTCTTTGGTTAGATTGGACATGCATAAATCACACACTGTATTAAGGAACAGGCGGTATGCTTGTTAATCACCACAACTACACTTCATACCGTCTCATTTGTCTCATATGCACTTACCGGGTCAAAAAACATTTTATCATGATTAGGGAGCCGTTACGGTAACCAAGTTAGGTTGGGGCCTCCACTTTGCTACACCAGAGACTAACATCAAGATGAGTCAACTTAACAACGACAAGGGCAACATGACGTGTAAGGTTATATCCCTGGATCACTGAAAATAAGTAATGGCACCAGGTATTCGCCAACAGGGTAATCACGTCCTTCACTACCGGTAGCACCAGCCACTCACATGATATTTAAATGAAGGTAAGTATTTGTTTGTTGCCGCAACCAGCAATACTAGACTCCTAGGACACAACGTCGGTCTGTAAACAGTCGTGTCTGGACAAGACAATCCAATGTTTGCATGTTTCCAATTCGCCAACTTACTTCTAATTTAAAAGCATTTGATTCCTTTGATTCCTTTGAACATATTTAATTTGTTACATTATTTTGTGTTTTGCATCCCAACAAAAAATAAATTACTTCAAGGCTTTTGTTGGTAGTATGTAGTGCCGATGTGTGGTCATCATATTTCAAGCATGACTGACATCGCGATTATCGCTCGACGGATTAGTTGTATTGTTGCTATATGTAATATGTTGGCTTTAAATAGAATGTGTTTATGTTCACACTCTTCCTACACATGGAATAGAATGAAAGGTAAATTGTTGTATGTTAGTTTATATCTTCATGAGAAATAAATATTGGTCGTTTGGTCAAATTGTATTTTCACGTCTTTGTTTGTGTGTTGTTTGACGCCGCAATCAGCAATATTTCAGCTATATGACGGCGGTCTGGAAATAGTCGAGTCTGGACCAAACAATCCAGTGATTGATTTCATGAGCATCGATTAACAAAATTGGGACACGATGACATGCATCAACCAAGTCAGCGAGCCAGACCGATCGCGTTAGTCGCCTCTTACGGCAAGCATGGGTTGCTGAAGACCTATTCTACACAGTATTCTACCTAGTATTCCAGTGTTAGCTAAATGCTGGACGAAATAAAAGCGTCAAATCCCTGTCCATAGACGCAAGAAGTACGATTCTCCTTTACTTCCAGTTCTGGTAGGTAAATCGGGGAAAGGTAATTGGCCATTTGACGGTGATTGTAAGATACCAGGTCATCGATACACATGATACTACAGAAATCTCTGAAAATATATTTGTGATTTGTCAAGTTTTAAAAACTTGAACAATTTCTTTACTCTCACGACTAGTCTCTGCACACCGTTTATAATTATATAACATATACGAAACATATATATCTGACAAGTGTCCATTCTTGATTCTTGTATCTTTTTTAAAAGGTATCATTTTGATAATGTTATAAAAGAGAGAAACGTCACAATCATTGGATTTATGAACTGCCCATTTACGTTCATATTAAATACTGCAACGTCTTTGCAAAGGGGGGCGCGGGTGGCCAAGTCATCTAAGGCGCCGCGATTCGCTGTGCTGAGTTGCGTCCCTTTGGCACGCCAGAAACCTATGATTGTCGGTTCGAATCCCGGTTCGCCCCAATTATGTTTCTAGGTTTGTCAGCACCATACCCGTGCTCGTGGGTTTCACCGAAGTGGTAAACGTCTGAGACCTGCATCACTTCGGGCTTTCCTCCCACATTAAGCTGACACGCCGTGATATAACTGGAATACTGTTAAAAGCGGCGTTAAACCCAACTCACTCACTCACTCACTCACTCTTTGCAAAGCAGCATTATATTACGGTAATTAACTAACCAGAACAGATATTTTTATCTTACTCACGCAAGATCAAACAGAACATTAACTTCCAATGATTATTCAACAGTGGACGGTGTTTTGACATACCATGTAGAAAATAACATATTCTAAATGAAGGCCGATATAGTGTTGCCGTCGCTCAAGTGAAGTGATTTTCGACAAAAGATGGCAATACTTCCAAGATGTTGATCTATGTATCCTGGACACACACAACGGTGTTTTCAAAATAGTGCCTCCGCTAAAATTAGTAAAGCTGTTCTGGACAATGAAGAACTGAAATCAATTATTGTTTGCAAGTCGCTGCGGGGCCTATGCTACAGTGTTCATAAATCAAGTATTCGGTGCTTTACAATGCAGTCGCGGAACATCGAAGCATTATAATCACTATGCCAGTGGAAGGTTGATCTTAGTTTTGTTTCGCCGTAACATGCGATTCGCACTTCACATTTAACATGGCTACCATCGGAATGATGTTTGATCTTGTACAGACTAATACCGTTCCTACCAATTACATGATGGTAATGAAAGTTGGTAGTTTACTTGACTGCGCCCATGAATGTATGCGGCAGTCACTGTGTGAGGCCATGGCCTTTGGTACCCTATATTTGGTGTGTTATTTATACCAAGGAGCCTTTCAAGCGGACCCGTCTGCTGCGGTGGATATGGAGTTGTTGAAATACAACTTTAACAGAGGCACAGAGTGCAGTGGACCTATCGGATCAATCCCTGGACCTGGTGAGTTCACAGTATTATTATTACATTGCTTATCCGAGTGACATTTTAGTGATTTTTTCTAAAACAATAAAATCTACATTACATTTATGAATAACACGAACTTCTTTGATTTTATGCTATATCTCAGCGTATCAACGTATATTTCCACGGTTATATAAAAAAACACCGTACATTGTACTGCTAAATGTAAATCATAGTTTGCAGATGTTTTGATTGGCGGTTGGCCTAAAGGTGTTATAAAGATTAGAGTGAATTGACAACCCGATATCTTTAACGTATGCCTAAGAATTATCAAAGCTAGAGCCGGAGACAGGCACACCAGTGACGCCACTCAGCCTGGTCACTTCTTGTAAGCAAGCAATCCTCATTACATTGCCATCACGACAGGCAACACTGCAAATGCAATTACAAATAATAAATAATAAGCAGCATTTCCTTTGTATAAATGATGTCATTAGTAAGACATTTTGTACTTCCGTGGTCACATAACTAATCTGTGAGGTCCCTCAAACATTTGTATGCAACATTGAGGTATTAGATAATAAATATTGTGTGAAGTACTTTTTACATTTGATTTTCTTGGATGGCAGATTAGGAACCTGTGTCTAAGCATGATCAAATTTGTTCATTTCTAGCATTTCGGGCTTGTCCTATTGGCAGCGGTTACAGCTATCAACCAGATTTTAACGTGTGTTACAAACGCCTCTACTCATCCAACCGAGCAGGAAAGGATACTTGTATCCAGGAAGGGGGTTCTGATCTTCTAACGGTTGACACTCAGGAAAAGCAGGACTTCTTCGGGCCTCTGGTTCCAGGGACCGATTATAGTAATAATGACATTTTTGGTTCTGACCACCATATATATTTTGCTTGAATGAGTAGGTGAAATACATTGTAACGGCACATCGGCAGCATTCCAGGCACAAAGTGATTAGAGCAGTTTTATCGATCATTTTGCTTGAAGTACTACAAAGAGAATCTCACCCTTGTGGTTTTTCAGATTACGTGTCCTTTACAAATGTATCAACACTCGTGTTGATGCAAATGATATCAAAAGAGATTCTGTTTATCATCCAATATAGTAATTATGACATTTTTGGTTCTAACAACTATGTTTATATATTTTTATTTTTTTTTAAATATTTTTATTTCAATATGAGTAAATATATATGTAACATTAGTACATGAGTGAGTGAGTGAGTTCTGTTTAACGCCGCTTTTAACAGTATTCAAGTCATATCACGGCGTGTCAGCTTAATGTGGGAGGGCAGCCTGAAGTGATGCAGGTCTCAGACGTTTACCACTTCGGTGAAACCCACGAACACGGGTATGGTGCTGACAAACCTAGAAACATAATCGGGGCGAACCGGGATTCGAACCTACAATCATAGGTTTCTGGCGTGCCCAAGGGACGTAACTCTGCACAGCGAATTGCTTCGCCTTAGATGAGTACATGGTACATGAGGTATATATATGTAGCAATTCATAGAATCTTAAAACATGATCAGATATGGGCAAGTACATTTATTGATTGACTGAGAAATTATAATACGTTGGCTGATAATTCTATCCATTTTCTGTCGAATCTCTTAACACTTCTAATTTTAATTGCGATGAATGTTTCTATTTTACATACATCTTTCAATATTTTTTATGAAAAAAAGGAAAGCATAATGGAGTTATCACAAATCAGAAGAAAGTTAGTTGTAGCTATGAGTTTATCATAAAATATTCTTGAGCCCTTTGTTCTTATCAACAAATCTCTCAAAATGTTATTTATGTATAAGTTAGCTGTGATAGAAGATCTGCCATGTATTGCTTTTTTCCATGATTTAGGGACATTTAGCATTACTCTGTTGTAGTCAAGTATAGTACCTATAATTTGAAATTGGTTTTGTAATTCTTAAAAATCTGTTGTTTCTACATAAATCTTTTAAACTATCAATACTCTTATTAAAACAATGTTTTAGAATGAAATTATTTTTAAATTGGTGATTGAACCATAATGGTTCTGATAAAATTTCGTCAATACTTTGTTTGTCAACTTTATGTTTTCTGTAGTAATTACCCCAAATATTCCATGTATCCCTCCAAAAGGGATTTATCAAAGTAATAAACTTATCAATATTTGCTCCCAAGAGGAATATCTGTTTTGATTGGAAGTTCTTCAATGTTGACGATGTCGGTTTTTGTAATTTCAATGAATCCATAAATTCTATCATAAATGGTATCTATCATTCTCAGACCACCTTCTTCATATTTCCTTATCAAGGTAGATCTATTTATTTTGTCTGGTTTGTTATTCCAAATGAATGTATAAAATAGTTCAATTTTCCAATAAAATCATCAGGTTGGTTTGGAATTGCTGAAAATAGATGAACTAATGTTGAAAGAGCCAGAGTCTTAATAACTGTGATTTTACCTTTTAATGTTAGATGTCTTTTTTTCCAGCTTCCCGGTAATCTATTAATATGTTCGAGTCTTTTTCTTGTATTTATTACCCATAGATCATGTAATGTGGGATTAAATATAATTCATAGACTTCAAAGTTTCCCTCATGCCAGTCTAGTATTATGTCTTCACAGAGTTTGATGTTGCTTCCTGCCATTGAACCTATCCATATAGCTTTAGTTTTGTCAATAATTACCTTAAGACCGGATTTTCTATAAAATTTATGCAAAGTATCAATTGCAGCTCTAAGACACTCTTCAGATCCATCTAAAAATAACTGTGTATCATCTGCAAATTGACCTAATTTATACTCATATAATTTATTGTTATTATCCCCCGCCACGAAGTGGAAGGGGGATATAGGAATTGGTGCCGTCCTTCCGTCCGTCCGACCGACCGTCACATTTCGTTTCCTGAGCAGATCACCAAACTTGGCACATATATAGGTCTAGTGGTGAACTGGTGCCTTTTGATAGTTTGGGTTTTTTTTAAAGAAAGTATCTATCGAGTTTCCATGGCAACGACTTTGACTTAGACTGAAAATGGCGGTAGTCCTCGTTTCCGGAGCAGATCTTGAAAACCGTACCATATTTCTTCACCAAACTTGGCACATAATGTCATCTCGCAGTGTTGAATACATTTCCATTCTTGTTGGTAAGTTCTGCATTGCTTGTGTGTATGTTCCTCCAAAAGTGTCATGGACTCGGTTGTTGCATTCATTGACTAACTTTATGCAGAAACACAATTAATTACAAATACAATAGTGTAACTGATCTTAAACCTACTCAACTGTATTAACACTGCCTCCTATCCTGTATATATTCTTGTCAACCATACTCTGTACTTCACTTGCTTGATGACGGTGTTAGAACCTACACCGAAATAATCGATCCTAATTGTAATAAAGAAGTTGTTTGTCCATATGTCTCATCCTTACTTATTCCAAATACAGTTACATATTCTATCATAAACTGCAGATGGGAAACAACACCAGTAATAACTGCAAATTAGGCCATTTACAAAAAGGCCCAGTGAACATAGTTTACAGGAGCTAATGCATTGCACACAACCGGGATATGAGTATTTCATGCTTGTTCCTTTTATGCCTTTATTATTCCTAGTCATTATTCCTAGTATCTCAGCTACAAGCAAAAGTAGGTAGGGTGAAAGTGGGTCACCTTGCCGGCATCCTCTTTGGTTCTGAAAAAAGTGTCAATTTTGTATTACACAAGATGATGCATTCTTAGTTTAGATATTAACCCATATAATTATGTTTGGTCCAAAACCATTTTTTTCATAACCAATTCAATAAATGTTTTGGAAACTGTGTCAAAAGCTTTTTTCAAAATCAATAAGTAATAAAGGTCCTGTCCTATTTTGCTCTTTCAGCTCGTACATGGTTCTCAAATTTCCATTTATACATCGGTCAGGTATAAAGCCAGTTTGGTCACTATGTATTAGGGTATCTTATGTTTTCTTAATTCTGTTTGCTACACAAGAACTTAAAATTTTATATATAGTATTTAGAAGAGAAATTGGTCGCCAGTTTTTCAGCAGCCTTCTGTCTTTGTTTTGTTTCGGAATACATGTACTTTTTCCTCTATTCATAGTTAAGGTAATTTGATTATTTTGGAAAGTTTCATTTATATACCTAAAAACCCATAAACCTAAGTCATTCCAAAAGAATTTTTAAAATTCAACTGGAAACCCATCCAGGCCAGGGCTTTTGTTATCCTTCAATGAATTAACAACTTTTGCAAGTTCAAACATTTCAATAGGTTTTTCAAGGCTATCCGCAAGTGAGTTACTAATTACAGGAGTATCAATGTCATCTGATACTTGTCTGATTTCAAAAGTATTTCAAACATATAAGCGAACATACAGAAACTGATTTATTATACTTATTTCGTTTTTGTTTTCGCAATTAGCCGTTATTTTCATTGTTTCATAACTATTTTGTTTGAATTGTGTTTGGTGGTTGGTCCTTTTATAATGTATTTAATTATTTTCTCAGATTGATCTACCATATTTATCCGATGTTAGTATACTATTGGTCTAATTAGTTGTCTCGATGTTTATTATACTGAACGTTCTACGGACTTAAATATGCATCATTTCTTTTGCAAATCCTCAATATATAGTTACGGAAGATGTGCCCATAGTTGTATAAGTAACTGAAACAATATAGTACTTCAATAATATGTACAGGCTGCTTCCTGTTAGATGAATCTGCAAATTCAAGTTTTTGTTGTGAATGCAATCCATCAAATATGAAAGCAGATTCTCTGTTATCTCACCCGCCCCGCTACGTTTCCTTAAAGGCCCTATTGGATGTTTCGGCAGGTAATCGATACTGATTATCCTCCGGATTGACGTTTTATATTTCACGATTTTCAACATGCCCCGACAACAATTTATATTTTCCTTTAGAAACTGAGGACAATTTATTTTTTTCTTGCAGAATGTATTTTAAGAAAATATCCCCTCTATATCCGAATATCAAATTGTTATTGTCAATTACTTTCAAGTGTTATTACATGTATGGTACTAATAAATATAGTTTTAACTAAGGAAGGACAATTTGATTTTCAAAATTTCAGCCTACATCCGAGGAGATCGGAACCCCAGCACAGGAGAGTGGGCCTACTGGGATGAAGGGACTACCAGGCCCATGCCGTTCATTGACTGGTCACCAGGTCAGCCGAATGGAGCTACCAATGGACAGGACTGCATGGCACTGGACAGAACGGGTCAACATGATGCACCTTGTAATCATTGGTATTACTTTTTCTGCGAATATTATATGCAATAGAGTTATGTGTGTTATTCCGGGTTGTTATGGGATGGGTATTCTTCACTAGTTCAAAATAATGGTAACAAAATACATAGGTTTTTACCAGTACTGGTCAACATGATGCACTCTGCAATTATTTTAACAGCTTTCTCTGCGAATAATATATGTACTAGGCATGTATACATATGTTGTTCCGCTTTATGATAAATCTTTTGTTAAATGGTATTGTATTTTCCATGTTTATTTTTAAAGTTCTGTCTCGCACCCCCTAAGGTGTATTTATTGGAAATAATACTATGTGAAGGCGTATTTTCTGATAAACTAGGGTCGCCCGTTTGGTTATCCCCTTGGCTTTACTATTGTGCTGAGCATTCTGTATAATCTAACATTAGGCCAATAGACCAACAGTGCTACAACTAAAGTGTAAAAATAGTTCATATTCAAACAGACAATAGTTGGAATGCCATTGACAGTTACGTGCATAGAAACAATAGCAAACACATCTACTGCATTTCAGCCGTGTACTGTTGAAGGTTAGTGAGTTTTTGAGTGAGCAAAATATTTGGATAACCCAAATAAACAGATGTTTTGATTTTGTAAGACATTTTTCAAGAGGCAAATTATAACAAAATGAAACAAATATAAGAGAGTCACGAACATGTATCCTTTGTGGCAAATACTTAAGTCTCATTACATTTTGTGCAAAATTTTCATGTACTACTAGTTATGAATTGAACTTTGGGGTGTACATTATCAGGCCAAATAACGGACAATACAATTGATCCAAGTGTTATCCTGATGTCCACCTCGTGTGTACCAACAGTTGCGACACCTCAGAGACTAAAACATGATTCATCTAACATGTCAGTCCATAGAGATGTAAAATCATCGATTTGATCATCCTAAGGCCTTCCTCGCTAATATAGTAAATATGTTCGTTTTCAAACCCAAATTGTGGTGAACATGCTGAAATACATGCAACCCTCCTAAACAGGTTTCTTCAATTACATTTATGCATGTTGGTTTGGTTGGTTTGTTGTTTAACGCCGCACTCAGCAATATTCCAGCTATATGACGGCGGTCTGAAAATAATCGAGTCTGGACCAGACAATCCAGTGATTAATATCATGAGCATCGATCCAAGCATTTGGGGTCGATGACCTGCATCAACTAAGTCAGCGAGCCTGACCACCCGATCCCGTTTGTCGCCTCTTACGACAAGCATAGTCACCTTTCATGGCAAGCATGGGTTGCTGAAGACCTATTCTAACTTGGAACTTCTCTGGTACCTTATTATTGAGATGTGGATTGTATCACAACTTAACTATTGAGATACGGGTCCGTAGGGATGATGCGAGGTAATCATATTTCAAGCATGCATGATAGAATTTCTGTTCATTGACTGACATCGCGAATATCGCTCGGAGGATGAGTTGTATTGTTGCTATATGTTATATGTCGGGTTTAAATAGCATGTGTTTATGTTCACACTCTTCCTTCACATGAAATAGAATGAAAAGTGAATTGTTGTAAAATAGTTTTGACGTCAAGATAAATAAATATTGTTCGTTTGGTCAAATTGTATTTTCACTTGTTTGTGTGTTGTTTAACGCCGCACTCCAGCTATATGACTGCGTTTTTTAAATAATCGAGTCTGGAACCAAACAATCCAGTGATTCACGCAATTGGGTTACGATGACATGCATCAACCAAGTCAGCGAGCCTCACCATCAGATCCCGTTTGTCGGCTCTGAAGGCAAGCACAGTCGCCTTTTACGGCAAGCATGGGTTGCTGAAGACCTATTCTACCCCACATCTTCATGGGTTCACTTGTTTGTACAAAAGCTGTACACTGCTACAGTTGACTTTTCTACGAAAGCCTTTTGAGGTCAAAATTGAAATATGGAAAAGGCACGAAACAAATTTCGTTAAAACGGGGAAAAGATCCGTTATTACTGAAAAAAGATTCGTTATTACGAGAATAAATTCGTTCTTACGAAGAAAAGATTCGTTATTACAAAAATATATTCGTTATTACCAAAAATGATTCGTTATTACGAAAAAAGATTCGTTTTTATGAAATTAAATTCGTTATTACGGAAATGTTTTCGCTATTACGGAACACGGAGAAAGATTCGTGTTTACGAAAACAAGATTCGTTATAAGGAAAAAAAAGTGCTATAAGTATTGAACACTTACGATTTTAAGTCTCTCTTTTACGAAATGGACTTCTGGGAATACATGAATACCATTGTCAAAGAAGGAGTTATCGAAATATTAGAACAAAAGGTATATCTTATGGTCAAGTATTAAACGTAATTATACAATACTGCACACAGTGGTGCATAGGATTAAATATGGTTGTTTTGTAGACTGGTGTTTTCCGACAATAATATTGAGAAGTGTTTGGGGGGGTGTGCGTGTGTGTCTGTGTGTCTGTGTGTGTGTTACTTATTAGTTGCTATCGAATTCGGTTTAAGTATATGCAACATTACTGAATATTGCATGTTGATGCTGATGTAGTGAACCTTATGAAGGATGAAGATCTGTCCAAATGCGTGTCGCAACACGGAGACAGATTGATTGAGGTTAAGGCACTTTTGCTAGCGCAACCGCATAGAACAAAAACAAGAAACTAAACAGAGTAAGTCATTTACGGTACTCAGAGAGTAAATTGAGGCTAAAAGGAAAGATAAAAAGAGAGACAGGTCCCAAACCAGAAGAAAACGACGTGAAAAACACCAAAAAATACTTTGGCAATCGAAATGCTGAGAAGGAAACCAGAGAGATAGAATTTGGATGGAAGCACAAATCGAAGACAGGGATCACAAACGTTTTTAGAAAAAAAAGGGTGGCGGAACCCGCAAGTTTCCGGTAAAAACATGCTTTCATATAGGCAGGGAAAACTTATGTTTTCATTAAAAGGCTCTTCAAGTGACTTCAATTTCGAGCTTTGGGATTTTACAGGAGAACCTGCCAAGGATGACATGACGATTGGCGGTATTTACAGCGACACAAAAATACCTCTGATTAGATTTTACTTGATATCTTCGGAGAAACCAACGGGACATGATGTTACTGATGATTCTACTGATGCCGATACTCTCCCAGAAGTCACATGGATGCCTAGACGAGGACGTTCAAGGGGTCTTATTGTAGAAGTCATTACTGAGACAAATACAGAACAGACACCCAGCTCTAATACAGGTGATTTGTTATTGAAAGCCATAAACTGCTGGTGTCGAACCAGAATTAGACCATTCTGACAAACCCCCTGAAACATTGGGTGACTTTCCTGAAGCTGAATCTTTGGAAAAATGATTCATTCAAGAGCCATGACATAAGACTGCAAAGAGGCCATGTCTTGAAGGAAGATCCGTTCAAAGACATAGTTACGATTAAAATGATCCTTCCAAACGGCAGATCTGAAGCCGCTGAAGATGGAGGAGGGGTTACAAGGGATGCACTTTAAGAATTTTGGAATTCGTTCTATTTTATAATGCACTCTGGGTACCAACTATAAAGTGCCTGGTCAAAGACACGATTTCGGAGAAAAAGAGTTTCCAGGTTGGAAAGGAATGGGATACTTCCCAGTTCAGTCAACTGTATTCCTTCAACAATGTTTGTACGGCAATGTGACCGGTGACATTAAAACTGATTTCCTGTCCCTTGTTCCTGAGTGTGATTCCAGTAACCTTAAATCTGCCTTATTTGACATGGGTTCTGTGGATTACGATGAACTGTTAGATGTTCTCGAACAGCAAGAAGTCAAAACCATTCCAGGACAAGAAAACATCGAGAGAATTGTGACCGAAATCGCCCACAAAGAGCTTGTTCAGTCCGGAATGTTCGTAATAGATCGTTGGAGTCCCTTCCTCAGTCCCCTTCAGATACCAGAGGATCTACTTAACTCCCTGTACCAAGAGATGTTTATCAACACCCTGCAATTTCCCGAGTCAATGAAACCTGAAGAGAATGTAGTCTCAAACCATATTTGGAGATTTATCCGTGAGTTATCAAAATCACTCTCAAACGCTTTATGAGATTTTCATATCTTAATCTTGTAACCCTTCCAATGGCATTTTTCCGTGCGACTGTTGACAGATATTATGACAGGTTATGCCTTTGTGATACAAATTTGTTTTAGTCTGTGGCACTTTGTAAAAAAATACAAGTTTATTTTACGGAGTTTTTTTATTATCCGTTTCACTTGTATTACGGTTTCAAGATATCTTTGTTTTGTGTTTTTTCGTTAGTTGTTGGAAGTGTTGAAACGCTGGTTCTGTCTATTCTCGACAGAAGCAATGGGACCAGTTCGGTATTAACAACATACACAAAACCTGCACAAAATAGCATGTACAACAAAAGCTAATCATATTTCAATTAAAAAGAAAAGAAGGAAAACATGCTCGTGTTGATTTGTAATTCATCCTTACAGAATCATTATATACCAACTAAAGCTAGCTCAGTTGGGTCAATCTTTGGTTGGCATTGCCCCAGGCTGTTTTCAATCATCTGATGTCTTCAATGCGCCGCCGCTGCCTCGCCTGTAGCAACGCAAATGGTGGTCACACCCAATATTGACAGTGTAAATTGAGTTGTTACACCACCCTTCTGAATATTTTCAGATTTTTTAATTAACCGGAAGTTGGGTTTTTTCAGCGTTAAAACCCCAATCCCCATGTAATTGGCGCGTCAATACGTCATTTTGACATGGCCTAAAATAATAGTCGGTAGGAAAACCTTGTATGATGACACTCCATTGAACAAGTTAAACACTTCTACATACCTTAGTGTTGTTTCATTCAAGTTCTAAAGCTGCGACCTGATGACCCTCCTCAATTCTAGATATAAATGCTTGGCTTCTTTAGCATCAGTAGGCAGTTCAAATCCGCGTTCTTCTATGATCAAATTGTGAAAGATGGCATCCTCGGAACCAGTGTATTATTGTCCCGATTACTCTCGTCACATAATGTATGGGACGAGAGTACTCGAGGAACTAATAACCTGGTTTCGAGGATCTCATAACAAAACATCTGAACAAGGCACCTTGTGGCACATGACCTGCTAGGCACTGTTACTGTTATCCCTATAACGTAATTCTTGAAGCTTGACGTGCTTGGTCTCGTGTGTAAGAAACGTAGTTAGAATTATATAATACAGTTAGGTTGAGGAAGACGTAAGATGCAGGTTTTGTAAAACATCAGAAATAGTCAACAGTCAATAATACCTGTATCAAATTCATGAAGCAGAACTGAACCAAACTTCTGTCAAGGAAGTCTCCACAAAATGAAGAAGGGCCGGCTTGGGCTAATTCCGAAAACAAATCCATCCAAAACTGTCCCATTTCCTTAGACAACCCCAAAACCACTCAGTCCGTTGATTGTGAGTGCTTTTGCTATACACAAAAATTTTATCGACAAAAAGTTCATCACCATGATTCCGTCTGAGAAATATTTGCATTTGTTCAATGTAACGGTTTTCTGTTCCCATGTCTGCACGGATCCGTTGTGGACAACTTCCACTGCGCCTCATTGCATCACCATAGTAGCTTGAACTGTTGGATCACTGTTTGTTCTATTTGCTTGAAGCGAAATCCGTAAATACATCCATTTATTGCAAGTCCGTATGACTTCAATTATCATAGGAATCTCCATGCCAAACGTAATTCGGCCCTTTGTTTACGTAATGTGGCCTTCGAAGACGCTTTCTTTTTCGAGAGGATACGCCATCAGGATCTTCGAGCTTCAACACATTATACAAAGTGTCCCTTGGGATGTTAAATCCAGCCTGGATGCATTTCAAGTGCATCCATCGATATCCATGTAGCTTTGCTTTGGTTTCTAGTTCTGCGATTATGAACATTGCAACGTCCATGACATCGGAAAAGTTCTTTCGTGTCGATAGTTTTAGTCTTCGTAGAGTTCTTTTCAACGTCGTTTTGCTTAGGATTTCAGCATAGGATATTCCTAGCTTAAAATACTCCTAAACAAGGTAGTCAAGGTTTTGCCGCCTCATGTTGTTACTTCCTAGTATTAGAAGTCAAGTGAGGACAATGCTTATATATGTAATTTTTCGTAATGACGAATTTAGTTTCGTTATAACAAACATTTTAGTAATAACGAATCTTTTT